GCACAGCGTGTGACACCCACATGAGCTGACCGGCGGCATCAAGCACGCCCGCGACATAAGCGGCAGCCGCGCCGGTGTACCGGTAACCGGCGCTGCCAGCCGGCTGCCCCGTACTGACCTGGAAGAGCCGGAGCCGCCGGAGCTGGCCGAGGCGCCCGACACGCTGCTCGTGTCCGAGTACAGGTCACTCTCTGGTCCGGCCAGGTCGGCGTCTGCCGGACAGACGGTCCAGCCGAGGTCAGCCACGCGCGCGCGGCTGCCAGCGGCCGCAAACTCCGTTCGTGTCACCGATCTTGGCTACACAGCTCAGAGCGGTCGCCAGTGAGGTCCTCCAGCGGCGGCAACGGCTGGGCTGCTGCTCTCGACTGACCTGCCAGCTGGCTGCGCCGGCTGAGCAGTTGCTGCCGCACGGTCGACAGACGGCTGCGCCGCTGCTCCAGCGTCTCTGAGAGTCGGGCCAGCGTGTCGGCTGTGTGTGCAGCGGCCCGCTGCAGCGCCGGCCGCACCAGCAGCCCTGCAGGCCAGCCGAAGCCAGGTCAGATGCCGCGCTCACACTGGCCGCAGATGACTGCACACGCCAGCTCGGTCTGCACGCAACAGTCTTTTCATGTGCTCATATCCTGTTTTTCATGCGTTCATGGCATTATTTGCATTCTACAGACCCGTGGCGCAGACTGGCAGTGTATGGTGAATTGTGAAAGTCGACTTAAAAGATTTGATCAAAATAATATTCATGTAACTTTGGTGGCAGATAGAAAACTTAGACTAACAGTAATACGCTTCGTAAAAACGAAAAACGTTTGTCAGAAGTGGGATTCGAACCCACGCCGGAGAACCGGACTGCGACCTGAACGCAGCGCCTTGGACCGCTCGGCCATCCTGACCACGCGCACCAGAGGCCCTAATTCCATGCACCAGAAAACACATAACCAAACAAGGCCCCTAGCCCCTGGCTTGTGGCACAGCCTTGTGGCGAACTCCAAGACCACTACAGTAGGCAAACTTTTGGTCTTTCGGCAGTATGAGTTCAGAGTTTCTATGCTGAATTATCAACCCTCAGTATACTCAGTGTGGTTAATCATAACCTTACAAGTCCGCAGCCTGAGTTTCGTGCAGCCCTGGGCCCCAACCGCGTGTCGGGCGTTAGGTTGTGTGGGAGCTCAGATGTCTCATTATTTTTTTAATCGTTTGCTGACGGTGTCCGCACAGCTTCCAAATGTTTTCTCGATTCACTTCTTTGGGTTTTTAAGTGTATTGTATATTTAGCCCCACTCAACCGTTTTCACTGGTAATCATAAGAGCAGCTCGAAAAGTCGAGCACTGCCAAATGTCAGCATAACCAATGTTTGGATTTGCTCCGTAGTTGTTGAGCAGGAGCTCCCGGCATGTTGAATGTTGATAATCGAGTTTAAGAACTCTGAACTCGCAACGCAGTATTAAAGACCGAGATACGATGCGGACGAATCTTGC